AAATTATATATTTGTTGAATTTTGCCTGAAACACTCAGACTGAAGAAGTCTCTTGGAGGAGAGACGAAACGTTTCATTAAAGAAGAACCCGTCCAGAAGACCTATACAATTTTTTTCTTTTTGATTTTTTTTACCTGGATTACTGAGATGCATCAGGATATATTTAAATGGAACAGATAAAATAGTCCAGCAGACTTTGATTCATTTAGCTTTGTGTGTTGGCATTTGTTCCTAAAACAGTCACTGCATAGTTTTGCTGATGCAGAAATGCGTGTGGATAAATGTTATCAATTGGTATAGCAGGTTTTCTGTTTAACTGCTGCTAGTTCTGGTTTTGTCACCCAGTTGCAATTTTCCACCAAAATAAAACAGAAAACATCCAAACAGTTTGCTCAATTTTCCTTCAAGGCCAGATTGTTAAACTACTTTTTAGAAAGCAAATGTGTTTTATAGCAGRGGGGCAATTAAAAAGCTGCTTGCACAACATGGGAGGGTCATTAAATAATTGTTCCAATATGGGTTTCAACACCTGCAGTCTCAACAGGAATGCACTCTGTTGTACACTAAAAACTGGTATTTGAGATTTAAGCTGTCAACATAATCCTTGATTTGTTTGATCTCCACCTTGGTTGGAAAAACTGAATTGTAGTTAGTGGAAGAAAAAAAGCTGTCATGTCACTCAAAGTGATCATGTGAGATGGTGAAATAAAAAAAAAAAAACAAAGTCCTTAGTACAAAGTAAAAATTCAGGAAAAAGGACACCTTAAAATACTTTTTCTTTCYCCAATAAATGATAAAGAAGCACTCCTCTGGCCTTGATTTTACACGTGTCAGAGACAAGTTCAATTTCTGCGTGGCCTATTCCTTTTATGTTGACAGATCTGCGACACGTGGACATGGATATAAGTATGTCTGTCGAAACATCACAGCCAAAGACTTCCTTGTGAAATATGAAGCTGTCAACCATCTCCAAATATAACACCATGAGACAAAGTATTTTAACTGGTATTTTTATAGAGGGGCTTGTAAAGGGATCTAGATGTGCCAGTCCCTGGGGGTCAGGAGTTAAGCCATAACATTTTCAGGAGTTTTCAACTAAAAATGTATTTTTTTCCCACTGCAGTTGGTTAGAAAACAAAGATAGCATAACTCTTAAAGTATCAGGAAATTAGATGAGAAATCTGGAAGGTTCAGTGATGAATGGTTAAGTCACTAAATAATGTTGAAGTCATAAAATTGAAATTTGGCTAGTTTAAGTTGAGGACTCTTTGGAAGGTATGCTGGAGAAGTGCATGATGATGACGTTGGGGTATTTCAACTATGCACGTCAACACAGCAACAGGATGGAGGTCATCGCTCATCCAGTCTTCCTAAAGTCCCGCCTTCCCTGCCCTCCTCGCTTTCTCTGTTCCTCTCAATGTTTTCTCCTTTTCCTGCCTATTTTTTGCCATCTCTCATCCAAATCTTTCCCCATTTGCCTCCTAATAGGACACACATTGTGATCATACAGGATGATGATGGAAGGAGACAAAGAATAATAAAGCAACAAGCAATGTAACAACAAAAAAAGTCCATGAAAAACCTTGAGAAAACAGACAGGGCTTCCAGCAGATTTACACAATTTAGGCTATAAAGGTGGATGGCTGCAGCTTTGACAAAGAGTTATTATCGGTTTAGGTTTAGTTGGATGACCCCCTACTGAACTGTGAAAGAGCACAGGAGACAGAGCAGAAAGGCAGACCCAGGGTTGGGGGTGGCAGAATGAATAATAGAAAAGGAGGGTTGAGGTAAACAGAAATGGAGGACAGAGAAGACAGATAGGAGAGAAAAACGGCATGATAACAAAAAGTGCCGYAGAAGACAAAGCTTAGCCAGGTTTACCTTGGAAACACCAGTACAGTGAACTATGAAGGGTGTGATCTGAGCTGGAGTGCATCACAATCTTCAGACATGGATAAAACAGGGGAGGGAGGTACAGGGGAGGGTGTCCCACACACACAGCAACCAACACAGTCCTCACACACCACATGGGGATAGATATAAAAGGACTCTCAAGGCAAAAGAGTGATCAGTGTCTGAGTGCTGTCTTGCTATTCCCTACTGTTATATCAGAGTGAGCTTGTGATAAAAACACTTAAAACTAACAGATAGAAATATTTCAAAGGAAATATAAGTAAGTACGCTTGACTGGATGCAAGAAGTTGATGAAGTTCTGAAGATCCAAACTTTTGATTGTATTTTTTGAGCTGATCTGTTTATTTTACTACACCTAAGAACTTTTCCTTTCCAAGAGGTAAAGCTATTTGCAAGTACTTTTGAGATTTTTTTTTACCCTCAAACTGCAACCAACACTGATGGACACTCTCTAGAAGTGAATCTGCAGTAAAATGGAAGCATCATTTTTGCTCGATATGGACATCAATCAGACACATGTGGAGGAGCATTTTTACTATGAGGACAGTATAGATGGTTTTGGCATCACAATGGCCATTCTCTACCTAGTTGTCTGTGTTGTGGGGCTGGCTGGAAATTCTCTTGTCATCATCACTATTTTGAAATTGGATAAAATGTCATCTTCCACAACGGTCTACATTTTTAATCTGGCTCTGGCTGATGGACTATTCATGGTTGGTCTCCCCTTTATAGCAAGCCAGAACTTTCAGAACCAATGGGTGTTTGGCGACACTGCATGCAAAGTGGTCATGGTCCTAGATGGCATTAACCAATTCACCAGTGTCTACTGCCTGACGGTGATGAGCATCGATCGCTGCATGGCACTGGGAGAGCCACTCCGCTTCGCTCACTGGAGAACGCCACGCCGTGCCAAGATTGTTTCTGCCATCTTGTGGCTCATTTCCCTTCTAACTATTCTCCCCATGGCGCTTCACTTCTCAGCAAATCACGGCATGTGTGGTCCAGACTTGGTTTCAGAGGCCTGGTGGCTTGGAGTTCTTTCTTACACCTTCATCATGGGCTTCGCCTTACCATTTATTATCATAACTGTCTCCTRCAGTGCAATGCTCATCACACTTCATTCCCAGCGGCTCAGATCCTTGGTGCCAAACCATGAGGGTCACAGTGTGGAACAACAAGTCACCAAAATGGTTGTAGCAGTAGWGGTTGTGTTTGCAATGTGCTGGCTGCCTTTTTACATCATGAACTTTTGTTCTCTGTATCAACATAGCCTAGCCTTCCCTGTTTTTGCCAGGGCTTTTGAATTTGTGGTCTTGCTKTCGTACTCCTGGAGCTGCGCTAACCCTATCCTCTACGCCTGCCTCTCGGACACCTTCAGGAAACATTTTTGTACACTGCTTTGCCCCGTCGCCAAGGCGTCTACAATCATGCAGTGCAATACTGAGCGGTATGACCTAAATGAAACAAGTGTAAGGGATGTCACTGTTCTAGCATAAGTCCTGACATGTAATTTTATTTCATATCCTATTATGCACTGCATGATCATTTTTAACATTGTAAAGTACATTTACTCATTTGATGCATCTTGACTTAATGAATCAATAATCGGGATGTTTTTGTTGTCTACTCTACTTGGAATGTATTCAGTAAACATGGTTTGTCTCAAGAACAAGTTTTGTTAGTTTAATCAATCCAATATAGTGCCTTTAGTTTGACTATGTAAGCCATAAATTCATTAYATCACTGTGTTTAAGTGTTTGCAGAGATGGACTTTTCTGCACATCTTGGATGATAGCACATTTTAGAATGTCTGTCCAGACTGTGAATATTTCTGTGAAACTGAAGAGTTTTTATGTACATCTAGAGAGAAGAAATTTGTTTTATTTCATGTGAAACAGATTTATTTTGATGATTTGTATAGTATATCATATGTATTGTATAAAACTCCCTCCTTTGTGTCAGTCTCATTTGACTTTTAAGTGTTGATTTTTTTTGCTCTTCTACATCTGGTGTTATGTGGCTTTTCAGCAGGGTTGAGAAAAATGTAACACAAGTGCAGACAGGTGGAATGTAAACAGAATAAAAGTGGTCATTCAGACACACATAAACACATATGTGCCTGGAAAATAACATCACTGCAACTCCCACAGCTGGATCATATTCCAGTTGTTAAGAGCTTACAGTAGGAGGGCAGGAGATGAGTGTGTTTTTGTGACCAAGTGTGTGCTTTTGTAATTTAGGCACAGGGAGTTTTRTGATGAAACCCATGGGTCGTCGCTTTGTTATGGTGTTCTGTGTGATTAAATGGAATTTTAATTATGTTCATCTGGTCCTTGTTTAAATTATCCATTACAAATTGCAACATGTAAAAAAGCCTTGTGTTACACATCATCACTTAAAGCGTTTTATTGTTTTATAAAAATGTATACAATATGATTTAAATGTTAGAAAGCAATTGACCAGGATTAATATTCTTGTATTGTTCACAGCGTTATAGGGTTAATCAAAAATCACAGGACTAGCTTTTATTTTTATTTAATTTCCTTTTTACTTCAAAAATAAAAGGGAAAATTACATATATGAAAACTTTGGCTAGTAATAGGTGAGTCCAATTTTTAAGGTTGTGTACAGAACATGGGTGTCGTCTTGAAATCCGCCAGGGCAAGTACATCACCCATTACGTGCTGAAGTAGTCATTTCCCCTTTTACTTCTAAAAGAAAAGGTGTCCTGTAACTTCTGACTCATGTATTTCAGTTAAACACAGCATTTTGTTGTATTCATTATAGATTTTTTTCTAATTGTGGACAGATTAAAAGTTTAGGAAATTATTTATTCATTTAATATGTTTATACGTATATTAACATGCCAAATGCAGAATCCATTTTGATTCTGCAAAGAGGTAAATCAATCAAAAAAGTTAAAGAAAAATCTGCTCTAAGCAGATTTGATGTAAAAGTTCAAAAAGTTGAAGTTGACACAAAATTAATGTTGAACCATAATGAAATACAAAAGGTTTTAATTTTACAACATATATTGGAGTGTATAGTAAAGTAAATTTGCAGTGTTATCCTAAAACATATAAAATTAATAAAAATATTTGTGTTCTGGGAGGGAAAAACAGATCACCACAATGTCAGCAATGTCTAAATCTAGTGACAGCCCTTAGCCAACCACAAGTACTTCTAACAAAGTACTTTTCTGATTAAAGAAAAAGCAAAAATAAATAAATAAATATATAAATAAATAAATTAATAAATAAATAAAATGGAAATTTGCAAAACGTTCAAAAGGTTTTGCTTATGTTTGTAATGTTTGTCTCATATTTTTGATTTTTGTTGCAGTCAGTGGAGGATTGGACCCAAAACGCAGGCAGGCATGAGGAGCTCAGAGAAATAACTAAAAATACTTTAGTTACATAACAAAAAGACTGACGTGGCAGCAACACTTATAACAAACCAAGAAGCACAGGGAGAATCATYACAAGGCACATGTAGGTGAAACCATCAGAAGCACATCGTAAACCAGACAATAATATACTGTTGAGTTGGAGGTGGAAGGAGACTGAATATCAAAAGCCAGACTGGTGAGGTGTGGGAGGCACCTGAACTGATCACTGAACAGGTGAGAGTGGCAGGTTGACTAAGACAAAACACTGAGGTGCTGACTGGGTGTGAGTGAGAGATGACACAAGGAGTACAGGGAGGAAACAAAGGACAGTTCATCTTAAAGCTGACAGATTGATCAGGATCTGAACTCAGGGAAGCTAATGCAAAAGAACAACTGATCAGAGAAAAACACAAAATATCTATAA